AAGTAATGTAAATGTTTTTAGCATAGAGATTCAGATATGCATATGGAAAGGCAACTACAACATCAATGAAACATGCAAATAAGATCAGATGAGCAGATCACTCTAAGATTTTGCTACCTTTCAAGGAACATCACTGAAAAATTGCAATTAGTATTAAAATTAATTGGATTTCAAAATTCTAATCCCTTGGTGTCTCTTTATTTTTACTAAAAATTCCTTTGAATTCCCTAAAGAAAAAGATAAAAATGGCTATTAAAAGGATTTGTGTGTATATGAGGTAGGAAAATGTAAAAAATCAAAATGGAAAGCAACTGTTGCAAGTACCAGAAAATTATGCTATTAATTTAAGTGTCATCAGAGCACAAAAGATCACATTCCAAGACAGTGTGAAAATTATTAAAATACTGGAAATAATAGTACTTAAGATGAAGATATTATGCTGTAAGATCTGGTTAAGTGACTGACACTATTATATCACTTCAGGTATTATAAAAGTAACAAAATGCTTTTAAAGATAATAAGCGTTACATTTTGAGATTGGCAGTATTCACACTTTTCTGCTTAAGTGCTTTCTCACTTTAATATAATTTAATAACAGCGGGGAGAATAAATCCAACATCATCTTCTCAAGCTCTGTCCTTCCTTTTAAAATTTTTTTAAAGTGTGTAAAATCTCAAAAACTCACCTGAGCAATTTTTAAACCATCCACAACTTATTTTTTTGACATTTTGAAGAAAATGGATGAAAATATCCAAGTTTGTATATTCCTCCAAAAAGTATAATTTTTGCTTTGCTTATTAAACACATTCCACTGCTAAAACACTAGGCTTCTTTCTGCTGTAACTGTGGGAAAAAGAAGTTTGGTGTCTTGGAGATGTGCATACTATACAATTTCCCTGTTAATCCTGGATTTCAGGATCTCTGTTTATTTAAAATGTGTTAGATTTAATGAAGAAAAATTAGAAAAATAGGCCCCCATTTAAATATAATTTTAAATAGAGACATAGTAGATTTGCAATACATTTTTTTAGATGTTTTAGCACTTCAAATTACTTGGAATTTTCCATGTGAATGATTTTTAGATGCTTTGCAAAAATAAAGGTACAAGTTACTTCCTTAATAATTCACAGGTATTCTTCATTAAGTACAAAAGAACCTATTTTTTACATGATTGTATTCTGAATAGTTTTAAGTTTAAATGTAAAAAATTAGAAATATTTTAAAATACATTTAAAAGGTGAATCTTTTTAAAAAGGGATTGAAATATTAATTGTATATATAATGCATATATATATATATATATATATCTTTAATAATTTTGAATATATAATATATACATACATACATACATACATACATACATACATACATACATACAGTGAGGCAAAAAAGTATTTAGTCAGCCACCAATTGTGCAAGTTCTCCCACTTAAAAAGACGAGAGAGGCCTGTAATTGTCATCATAGGTAGACCTCAATTATGAGAGACAAAATGAGAAAACAAATCCAGACAATCACATTGTCTGATTTGGAAAGAATTTATTTGCAAATTATGGTGGAAAATAAGTATTTGATCAATATCAAAAGTTCATCTCAATACTTTGTTATATATCCTTTGTTGGCAATGACAGAGGTCAGACGTTTTCTGTAAGTCTTCACAAGGTTGGCACACACTGTTGCTGGTATGTTGGCCCATTCCTCCATGCAGATCTCCTCTAGAGCAGTGATGTTTTGGGGCTGTCGCTGGGCAACACGGACTTTCAACTCCTTCCAAAGGTTTTCTATGGGGTTGAGATCTGGAGACTGGCTAGGCCACTCTAGGACCTTGGAATGCTTCTTATGAAGCCACTTCTTTGTTGCCCGGGCAGTGTGTTTGGGATCATTGTCATGCTGAAAGACCCAGCCACGTTTCATCTTCAATGCCCTTGCTGATGGAGGGAGGTTTGCACTCAAAATCTCACGATACATGGCCCCATTCATTCTTTCCTGTACACAAATCAGTCATCCTGGTCCCTTTGCAGAGAAACAGCCCCAAAGCATGATGTTGCCACCCCTATGCTTCACAGTAGGTATGGTGTTCTTTGGATGCAACTCAGCATTCTCTCTCCTCCAAACACAACGAGTTGTGTTTCTACCAAACAGTTCTACTTTGGTTTCATCTGACCATAGGACATTTTCCCAATCCTCTTCTGGATCATCCAAATGCTCCCTAGCAAACTTCAGACAGGCCCGGACATGTACTGGCTTAAGCAGGGGGACACGTCTGGCACTGCAGGATCTGAGTCCCTGGCGGCATAGTGTGTTACTGATGGTTGCCTTTGTTATGTTGGTCCCAGCTCTCTGCAGGTCATTCACTAGGTCCCTCCGTGTGGTTCTGGGATTTTTGCTCACTGTTCTTGTGATCATGTTGACCCCACGGGGTAAGATCTTACGTGGAGCCCCAGATCGAGGGAGATTATCAGTGGTCTTGTATGTCTTCCATTTTCTAATTATTGCTCCCACAGTTGATTTCTTCACACCAAGCTGCTTGCCTATTGCAGATTCAGTCTTCCCAGCCTGGTGCAGGTCTACAATTTTGTTTCTGGTGTCCTTCGACAGCTCTTTGGTCTTCACCATAGTGGAGATTGGAGTGTGACTGTTTGAGATTGTGGACAGATGTCTTTTATACTGATAACAAGTTCAAACAGGTGCCATTAATACAGGTAATGAGTGGAGGACAGAGGAGCCTCTTAAAGAAGAAGTTACAGGTCTGTGAGAGCCAGAAATCTTGCTTGTTTGTAGGTGACCACATACTTATTTTCCACCATAATTTGCAAATAAATTCTTTCCAAATCAGACAATGTGATTGTCTGGATTTGTTTTCTCATTTTGTCTCTCATAGTTGAGGTCTACCTATGATGACAATTACAGACCTCTCTCGTCTTTTTAAGTGGGAGAACTTGCACAATTGGTGGCTGACTAAATACTTTTTTGCCCCACCAGGAGGATCCAAGTAAGGAAATACTTTACTAAAACCAAGCTTTCGTTGGACACTTCCAACATCGTCAGGGTTAAAAGCCAGTTAACAAAGATGTCTTAAATAGGGTTAGCTAACATCTGCACTCAGCTCCTGGATTGCGTCATTGGCCCCAGCCGGTCAATTTGTATTTCAGTTGTTTCCTTGATGTCAATATTATGTTCTCCTTTGTCATTCCTTCAAATCTTTTCACTTGCTCTTTCAACATTGGTTCCTAAATTTGTCAACACCCTTTTGCCCTCCTCCCCTCTGATAGTGTTTACCCTCATTCTAACCTTTCCTTTATTGTGGGTCTTGGGGGTGTGTGGTGGGGGGTATTCAATTCTCTCTTAATGTTATCATTCATCTCATTAGGGCTCCAAGTGCTTTCTCCCACCCCCTTCAGTTGTGGATCGATGTTCTCTCCCTGTTCTATATTCCCCTTTCCCTTTTTCTCCCACATATGGGTAATACTTGTCCAAATACTATGCGATCTAGCACTTGTACTCTCACCCCCATCCCGACGTTCCCTGCGTCAGTCGTCTTTTGTTGTTCTGTCTGGTGGTGGTGATAGTTATTCCTGTCCAAAGCGGGCCTCCTACATTCTGCCGGAGGCGATTCCAGCTGTGGGTGGGGACACCCCCTGTTTGTGACCTTCTGTCCGTCTACAAGGTGAACAGGAGAAATGCCCCCCTGTGGTACAAGCGAGTAATCATTCCACACCTTCTCTCCCTTCATATCAGGCAGTCCTCTTTGCTGTCACAAATAGTATTAGGCTCTGGAATCCCACCGTCAGACCCCCTGGATTCTCTACTGGCATGAACGTTATTCCTCCTCCATGCAGAAGGTGGGGGTTTACTGAGATGTTGTTGAAAAGCACGTAGATCATCTGCTCGGCAGGTTTCCCCCCGGCTGTCTCCCGAAGGGGGATCGGCTCTCACTAAGTGTCCGTCTGTATCCAGCGTTAGCGGGCTCCTCAGCTGTTCGTCAGAGTAAGATTGCTGTTGGCTAAGTGCAAAAACGGGCCTCCTACATTCCGCCGGAGGGGGTTCCAGCCATGGATGAGGGCACCCCTTGTCCATGATCTTCTGCCTGTCCACAAGGTGAGGGAGGAATGCCTCTCCCCCATCTGTGGTGCGAGCGAGTCATCATTTCACACCTTCTCACCCTCCGTATCGGGCTAGCCTCTTTGCTGTCACAAATAGCACTAGGTTCTAGGATCCCGCCATTAGATCCCCCGGATTCTCTATTGGCACGACTATCTCTATCTCCCCGGATTCTCTATTGACACGACAAGATTCGAAGGAATGACAAAGGAGAACATAATATTGACGTCAAGGAAATAACTGAAATACAAATTGACTGGCTGGGGCCGATGACGCGGTCCAGGAGCCGAGTGCAGATGTTAGCTAACCCTATTTAAGACATCTTTGTTAACTGGCTTTTAACCCTGACAATGTTGGAAGTGTCCAACGAAAGTTTGGTTTTAGTAAAGTATTTCCTTACTTGGATCCTCCTGGTGGTCGTATATTATTTATTTTTTATTATAATTATGCCCAGGAGTCGTATTTTTACAGATATTATACAGATATATATATTTTACAGATATGTATATTTTCTGAGGTTTTCGCAGGTGTTTGTATGTAGGTCTTTGGTTATTCGGGTTTTCTCCCGCATCAAATTGGAAGTGTCTTGGCGACGTTTCGACGAAGTCTCATTCGTCATCTTCAGGCTGGTGTTTTCGGCTTCTAGAAGCACGAAGCCGAAAACACCAGCCTGAAGATGACGAATGAGACTTCATCGAAACGTCGCCAAGACACTTCCAATTTGACGCGGGAGAAAACCCGAATAACCAAAGACCTATATATTGCATTATGTATAATTGTAATATATATGTGTTTTATAATTGCTAGATTTTGAAAAGTTGAAACAATTAATAAACAGTACTTCTGTATTGCTTTGTTAAAGGCCACTTATAATATTTCTTACAATTTCCTTCCATACTAGAGTTCCTTACTGAGCATTCACAGTCAGTTCTTGGCAGCATTAGAATCACTGAAGGAGTTTTGGGATGTTTTAGATGAAATTGATGAGAAGACCTGGGTCCTTGAACCAGAGAAACCCACAAGGAGCTCCACTAGGCGAAGGATTGCAATTGGTAAGAAGAAAAAAGACAACTGCATAGGAACTTTAGCAGTTAAGCAAGATAAACAAAACTTTAAGAAATCATGTTTCTATAAAAAAAGCTTTTTTGTCCCATTATACATAGCATTTCAAAATTTAGATTATGGCTTCACTGAGGGAGAAACCTCTCCTCCTTCCTGGTATTATGGTTTATGTATTATATAAAGTTAAGTAACCTTAATAGTAATAACAACTGTTTACAGAGCTTCTCAAACTGTGGGTCATAATTTGCAGCTGGTTTATATTCCACTTTTTTGTGGGGGAGGAGGGTGTCTTTTTTTTTTTTTAAGGTTATAGAAACAAAGTAGTCATCCTATCAAACAAGTGCCCTCTCCTGCTTTGCTTGGACAAAATTTATCCCCTCTAGTCCACTGAAACTAAGCTATGACTATTTTCTTCAGCAAACCTTTCATTTTGGAAGATACATACATATACCATATCAGCTACTTTTTCAGACCAGTTTTTATAGCACAGAAGGAAAGGTTACCTAATATACCCACCACATATGATTTTTTATGAATATCTGAACTAACTATATTAAATTACTGGGTTTTTATAGAAATACATGCATTTAAAATATACTGAAATATGTTTAGTTAATTTAATTAAAAATGACTTCAAATAATCAGTATTAAGAAATAAAAAGGAGGAAGTAGGTAGAAAGGTCAAGTCAATCTGCTTGTTAGATACTAATGTACTAAAATCTAGTCAGTTTCGCATACTGATTTAGAAGTGGTAGATAAGTATTTTGAGTTCAAGGGTAGAATTATAATTCTTGTAGTTTTGGAATACTGTGCACAGCATCTGTACAATTAAGAATAATGCCTTTTTCTAAAAAAATAGACTGGATAGCTATAATACTGTTTTGTCTGTCTGTTTCAGGAAGCAACATTTCACTTAATATAGAGGTAGATCCCAGACACCCCACCATGTTTCCTGAGTGTTATTTTCTTGGAGCTGACCATGGTAGGATGGCTTCTCTTTCAAATATTTTTTGTTGCAGTGTCTAATATTTTATGCTAGTATAGTTGATCTTGACGTATGGTAAACTGAATATACTTATTTCAGGCAAGCAATACAGAATAACATCATTGAACATATTTTTTTATAAAAGTTCCTATATATTGTTCAGAAAATCATTAAACATTCAATATATAAAGCAATTTACACTATTTTGGATGACAATAAAGGTTATCTTATCTTTAGCTGCAAAATAATAGATATGTGCAGAACATGTTTTGTAAAGTGTTAATACATCACTTCTCAAGCCACAGTAATAGCAGAACTGCAGGACAACATTGGGAATATAATTATGACTGGAGGAAAGTGGATGGCTCCCTGCCATTAAGCTTAATTTCTATGTCCAGGTCTTTTTTTTTCCTAGATGAATTTTTATTTTTATTTGCAAACTTAAAATATAAATGCCAAACAAAAGGAAAACCTATGTAAGAACAAAGCAAAATTAAATAAGACAAGGAAAAAATGTGCATAAAAACACAAACATATTGTCCCCCCCAGTTGAATACTAATAAATATATTTCAGCAATATTAAGCCCCACCCCACCCCCACCCCTTGCGAAGCCAGCTTACAACGTTATGAGCTGATCTTAGTCATGTTATCTGGAGCGAATTTGAGCCTGTGACCCCTGATGAAGTGGACAAGGCCGTGAGGGCAATGAATACCGCCACCTGTTTATTGGACCCGTGCCCCTCCTGGCTGGTTTCTGCCAATAGGGAGGTGACACGAGGCTGGCTCCAGGCAATAATCAATGCCTCCTTGATGGAGGGGTCTTTCCCGCAACCTTTAAAGGAAGCTGTAGTGAGGCCCCTCCTCAAGAAGCCTTCCCTGGACCCAGCTGTTTTGAAGAACTTTCGTCCTGTCTCCAACCTCCCCTTTGTGGGGAAGGTTGTAGAGAAGGTAGTGGTGTCCCAACTCTTGCGATCCTTGGATGAAACTAATTATCTGGACCCTTTTCAATCTGGTTTCAGGCCCGGCTACAGCACTGAGACTGCTTTGGTCGCACTGACCGATGACCTCTGGCGAGCCCGGGATAGGGGTCATTCCTCTATCCTGGTGCTTCTTGACCTCTCAGCGGCTTTCGATACCATCGACCATGGTATCCTTCTGCGTCGTCTCGGAGAGGTGGGGGTGGGCGGCACCGTATTGCGGTGGTTCTCCTCCTACCTCTCTGACAGGTCGCAGTCGGTGTTGGCGGGCGGACAGAGGTCGACCCCTAGGCGCCTCGATCATGGGGTGCCTCAGGGCTCGGTCCTGTCCCCCCTCCTTTTTAACATCTACATGAAACCGCTGGGTGAGATCATTCGGCGACACGGGGTGAGGTATCATCAGTACGCGGATGATACCCAATTATATATCTCCACCCCGTGTCCTTTCAGTGAAGCAGTCGACGTGATGTGCTGGTGCCTGGAAGATGTGAGGGTCTGGATGGGGGTGAACAGGCTTAGACTCAACCCTGACAAGACCGAGTGGCTCTGGGTCTTGCCTCCCAAAGGTCAACTGGATGGTCCATCATTAGTCCTGGGGGGGGCAAATTTACCTCCCTCAGTGCAGGCACGCAACTTGGGTGTCCTCCTGGACTCACAGCTAAATTTGGAACAACATCTATCGGCTGTGGCCAGGGGGACCTTTGCCCAGTTTCGCCTGGTGCACCAGTTGCGGCCTTATTTGGACCGAGAGACTTTACTCACAGTTACTCATGCCCTTGTCACCTCAAGACTGGATTACTGTAATGCGCTCTATATGGGGCTACCCTTGAAGAGCGTTTGGAGGCTGCAGTTGGTTCAGAATGCAGCCGCAAGAGCGATTGTGGGCGCGCCAAGGTACGCCCACGTGTCACCTATCCTCCGCGAGCTGCACTGGCTTCCTGTGGGTCTCTGGACGCAATTCAAGGTGTTGGTTATCACTTTTAAAGCCCTTCATGGCATAGGGCCACGTTACTTACAGGACCGCATACTGCCTCACAGTTCCCAGAGACTGGTGAGGTCCCATAGATTGGGCCTCCTTCAGGTCCCGTCGGCCAGACAATGTCGGCTGGCGGGCCCTCGGGGAAGGGCCTTTTCTGTGTTGGCTCCGACCTGGTGGAATCAACTTCCCCCCGAGATTTGAACAACTCCCACCCTGCCGGCCTTTAAGAAAGCCGTTAAAACTCTCCTGTTCCGGCAGGCCTGGGGCTGATGTCCCCAGGGGGGGCAGGGATATGATCGGACTTGCGGTATGATTGTATTATTTTATTGTTTTATTGTTAGATGATTGTTTTAATTTTGTACGGCACCCTGAGTCCTTTGGGATTGGGCGGCATATAAATAAAATTAAATAAATAAATAAACAGCTCTGTTTACCAATTTGATATGGCATCTATCTACTATATAAAGAAAAATAGTTAACAGGTAAACTCAAAAACAAAGTTAAACTTCAAAGCCCTTCAAATCTATTATTCTATTTAACCCGCAGAAAATCCACAAAGGTTTCTGATCTACCATGAACCACTGCAATAATCTCTGATCCATCTAGGATCAAATCTCCTCAATTGATTCTTAATGATAAAACTTTTCCTTAAAAATTTAACTGGAATCTTTCCCAACAATTGTATCTCATTCCTCAGTCATAAATCTCTTGTTTTAAATATCTCCACAGGGGCGCTTTTTTTTTCCTTGAGGAGGAAAAAGAAAACATTTCACTTCTCACCCAAAAGAATTTTCTTCTTTTACCTGAAGGAAAAAACAGTCCTTTGAAGAAAAATAGCACCTTTGAGACAACTATGACCTGGATAACTGAGAATCTCCACAAACACTCCATAGCGTTTGTTGTTCAGAGAATCTTTCTATAAGTTGAAATGCAACATCTTTTGGCCATTGTTTCCTGATTGGATATAAGTTCATTCCCCAACTCCCATCAATCTTCTTAAGAAAGTCCAATCCATCATTCATCAATACTGCCATTTGTAAGTCTTTTGAATTTGTGCCTTTCTCCAACAAGCCTGCAATTTTCAAACCTTTTCCTTCAAATCTGCCAACAAAAAGTTAGATTTCAATCCATCCAATTATAACTCTGGTTTAACTAATGTTGTTTGTATCTGAGTGCCATTGGGTTGATTTAAAACTTGTTAATTTAATCAAAGCTTTTATCCAAGTTTTCAAGTAGAACTTGTATGTTGAAAAGTTTTGTTTCAAAGGCTTTCCGGAGGTCTTTATCATTAAATTGATTTGGCTCTCACCTTTCTTTTATATCTTTTTATGGACCTTGTAAGGAACATATGATATGTAATATTCAAAATCCTTATTTTTTTGTTTGCATTTTTAATATTTTTAATATAATCTAAAACTCTCATAAGCAAAAACACAAAATACACAAAATAGTTCCACTTAAGGAGAGAACTAGATGTACTATAACAAAATAACCACAGAAAAAAATGAAACATTTCCCACAATAAAAAGTGAGTTAATCATCATCATCATCATCATCAAGTTGGAAGGAACCTTGGAGGTCATCTAGTCCAAACCCCTGCTCAGGCAGGAAACCCTATACCATTTCAGACAAATGGCTGTCCAGTCTCTTCTTAAAAGCTTCCAGTGTTGGAGCATTCACCGCTTCTGGAGGCAGGTTGTTCCACTGGTTAATTGTTCTAACTGTCAGGAAGTTTCTCCTTAGTTCTAGGTTGCTTCTCTCCTTGATTAGTTTCCATCCGTTGCTTCTTGTCCTGCCTTCAGGCGCCTTGGAAAATAGCTTGACTCCCTCTTCTTTGTGGCAGCCCCTGAGATATTGGAAGATTGCTATCATGTCCCCCTTTGTCCCTCTCTTCATTAAACTAGACATGCCCAATTCCAGCAGCCTTTCCTTACATGCTTTGGCCTCCAGTTCCCTAATCATCTTTGTTGCTCTTCTCTGTACTCTTTCTAGAGTCTCAACATCTTTTTTACATCGTGGTGACCAAAACTGGATGCAGTATTCCAAGTGTGGCCTTACCAAGCATTGTAAAGTGGTATTAACACTTCACGTGATCTTGATTCTATCCCTCTGTTAATGCAGCCCAGCACTGTGTTGGCCTTTTTGGCAGCTGCAGCACACTGCTGGCTCATATTTAAGTGATTGTCCACTAGGACTCCGAAGTCCCTCTCACAGTTACTACTATTGAGCAAGGTACCCCCTATACTATACCTGTACATTTGGTTTTTCTTGTCTAAATGTAGAACCTTACTTTTTTCACCATTGAATTTCATTTTGTTAGATAGCGCCCAGTGTTCAATTCTGTCCAAATCTTCCTGTATCCTAAGCCTTTCTTCTGGAGTGTTGGCTATTCCTGCCAGCTGGGTGTCATCTGCAAATTTGATGATTTCCCCATCTATCCCCTTGTCCAAATCGTTGATGAAGATGTTGAAGAGCACTAGGCCCAGAACAGAGCCCTGGGACACCCCACTACACACTTCCCTCCATGTAGATGCAGTTCCATTGAGGACCACACGCTGAGTACGGCTGGTCAGCCAGCTATGGATCCATCTGTTGGTGATGCTGTCTAACCCACATTTTTCTAAATAAAGTTCCAACAAAAGTTGAAAGAAATAAGACCAGAGCTTTTAAAAACTAATAGAATACAAAATCCTTGTAGTAAAAATCTGATGTAAATGTAAATAAAATCAGATCACTTTCACTACCCTGGGAGAGTCCTCTCACTGTTGATGGCAAAAGGAGGCGCAAAAAAACCACATTAAATCCAGCCTTCAACCAGTCAGTTAACAGTTGAAGATGTAAGTCAGAAAGAAAAAGAAAACTTCAAATGTGCAATTAAAACTGAGAAAAGTCATAGCTTTTGCTTGTATAGAAAACCAAACAAGTGGAAAAGCCTCCAGAATCTTAATTCTTATTTATCGTCTCTCTTTCTCTACACTCCCAAGTTTAAAGAAGATAGAAAACTTACGTATGTGTTCAGGTCAAACCCATAATCCTTTCAAGTATTCTGAACTACTTTTTTCTCCTCCTTCTAAATGTATTATTAGGGCTTGCATCAAAGATGGGCAGAATATAGGCCACTCAGGATCTGCTACTTATTTAGATCATTAAATGATTTATATGACCCAGGAAGGCACTTAACATATTTTAAGCAAGAAGTGATTCTTTAGCATCATTTAATGCAGATTAATTATATCATAAATGTTGAGAGGTCTGTGAATGCATTCTTGATTCGTAAATTAGCACATTAGTGAACCACAAAAATCTAATTTTTTAAAGCACACACACGTATAGGAATAAAAGTAAGCTATGCAAAACAATTCTTTCAATCTTCATCCATGAAATTGTTTCTCTCAAGGGACAGTTCTTATGATTCTAATGGGGCCATTTTCGTTTTTGCCCCTTGTTCCCATTGTAGAGCTCTGTTTTAATGCAAGGATATTTGTCTTTTCTGTCTGTCTTTTATCATTAGACAGATCAAAAGCAAATTGATTATTCAGTTCTTGTATGCAGGCAGCAATAAGTTCACAGAACTGAGAAGACTAAATTACCTAGATGTTTTATCAAGATCAGAGGTGCTTCTTTAGTGGGATTGTGCAAACTTCAGTGGGATGATTTGATCAAATTATTTCTCTAAAATATTCCCCTGAAAAAGGTGACAATTTCCAGTTCATGTGGAAAAGCCACTTGCCTTCAAGCATAATAGCCATTCAAATCAGATTGGCTGAGTGAAGCTCTGGGACAAGTTGAAATTAATTTGGAAAAAGCTACAGAAACAGAAATCTGATATCTAATGCAAGCAGCAGAAAACCCTTGAAAATCAAGATAATTTATTCAAACCAACTCTCCTACATGTACATTGTGTAGAGATATTGAAGAAAATGAATATTGAAAATATGTTATGATGCATGTGCATTAAAATTATATAGTAGTGTCATTAGTTTGAATTTGAATTATTTAATTTATAACTTGTCTTATGAAGTCAGCTGCTCTGTGAGTTTTTCATATGAATGAAAAAAAGACATTTTTGCTCATGAATCCATTATCTGCAAAATTAGGGAACCAATTATAGATGAACTATAAAACCACCAATTCATAGAACCACCACTCCTCCATGGATTAGATATTCTGAAAAATAATGTTTTCTTGTGGAAAAATGTAAACTTGTGCATAATTTGTTTTCAGTGGTAAATCCGTTGAAAATCAAGCTGAATAGCAATATACATATGTGGTAAGTATATCTGCTTGTAAATATGTTTAGTTAATAATTTAATTAAAATAATTGTAATAGTATTTCCTCCTTTTTTAGGAACCCGGAAAATAGTTTGTTAAAAAATTTAAAAGAGATTTTGGAAATTGATTTCCCATCTCGAGAAGCTCTAGAAAAAACTGTAAGTTATTTCATACTTTCTCTGCTTGAATACTAGAGATTTGGAAATAAAACAACTATTTCTCAAAGAGAATGTACGTGATTAAAAATGTTTACTTGTACATGGGGACTATTCTATATATAGGAAGGTCTTGTAGAGTTGTTTGGTATCAGAATTTATTTTAAATGTAATAAATTTAATGCAAGAAATAAAAAAAATCTGTTCAGGTGAGAAGGTGCACTAAGCTCAGAAAGAAGTTTGCATTCTTCCATCAACCTACCTGCCCATTTTGTTCTATCCTATTTTGGAAAATTCTGAGAACAGGCTAAATAAAATACAATCTATTTATGTTGGGCAGCTGTGCAGGAAGGCCTGTGGACTTTAAAAATCCATAAACTTCTAACAGGATAAAATGCATCTTAGTTCCTGGAGTTGGCCTCCTATTCAGATTTATTCTTCGTATGTGCTCACAGTGAATGAGAATAATAATTAAAAAAAAAATGGGAGGAATACAATTTCTTCCTTGCCTGTAGAATGTCAGGTTTGTGAATGCTCTGACTAGGTGTAATTTTGGAATATATTTTCATGATGTTGTTTATTCATGGAGAATTTGTTATATCTTGCACATACGTATTATATGTGACACTATGCAATAATACATTGGTAGTTTACTGTAATTTAAGAACTTTCATATCACCTAATGCCCTTTCCTATAAAAAGATGTATACATCAGTTGAGAAAGGAATTGCTTGAGATTAATCAAAGCTCCATTTGAATCTTTATATGCTATGATTTCCTATCTTCAGTCTACTAATAGAAAATCTGTAGTAGAATATCATAAAGGCAATATTTATCCATGTATCCTGCCTTGGGTCTCATTTTTTTTTATCATCCTGTGAGTGATAAAACCTAAAGCTAAGCTGATTGAAAGATCTTAGTTAATTAAAGAAGAATACAAAAAGTTAAATTTGCATGCAAATAAAACACTGGATGGGAAAAAAGAATACTTATTTCTAGATGGCCTCTGGTGATGCATATATATCTACTATCTTAAAAAAGAAACACTGTCTCTAAAATGGTGACTACTATATACAAGTTTTATAAATACTGATTAAAACATTTAAACTTGCTTTAAAAGACACAATTAATTAGAAACAGTAATGTGTGTTTTAACCAATTAAGTTTAAGACTAGTTCTTCATTGTAGCTCTGTGATTATCTCACACGGGATGAGACAAGAGCCCATTCAGAACAATCTAGAACTTAATGGGATTTCCTGGTGGGAGCTCCGTCCCATGTGAGGCATGTCTAATAAGGCATGCTTCCTTTAATTCCTTTAGTTTTATTTTCCACCAACACAGTAATAGCACATTTACTTTTAGAAATATTTATTGGTTCTTTTAGAAATTTTCCTTTTCTTTCATTTTGTTCAATTTCTAAACAATTGTATATCTTTGTTCCATGTGTGAGGAATTGTGGGATATAGGTGATTGACTCCATTCACATATGGCCCTGAAGGCTCCATTCCACAGCAACCCCCCCTCCCCATGGATACAACCTCCTAGGCTCTTGCAAGCACTGCCAGACTTTTACAAAATAAAACTGTACAAGTGGTTCAGATTAGATTCTAAAACGTTGATTAGGAGTACATGTAGAAAAAAAAATACTAGGCTGCTGCTCCTTAAAACATCCATGTTTGCACCCCCTGGAATATCATCTCACCCCCCCCAGGGGGTGCAAGCACACCCGGTTGGGAACCCCTGATGTACATGAATTCATAGATGGCTACTTGAAAACACAATTATAAGTAACCAGTTTGCCTCTTAAGGTATACTGTACTGTGCTATATAAAATTGATAAAATTAATGATTTTTAAAGAAATCGTTAACATGTATCAGAACTCAGCATAATTGATGGACTTTAGGAATCCTGTTGAGCCGTCATATAATTTGGTTTGTCTGCTATTTGTGTTTTTCATAAATCCCAGTTGAACTTTGGCTTGGTGCAGTGTATGTACTAAACCTACTCACCTCACTAATATAGTTCTATTTTATATTTTTAAGGACTTCTCTATGGATTGTGGTATTTGCTATGCTTATCGCCTAGATGGGGCTATTCCAGACCAAGTTTGTGATGACTCTCATTGTAGCCAATCTTTTCATCAAGTTTGTTTATATGAGGTATGATTATCAGAAGCATTCAATATTGTATTTCTTCTAGGCTTTTAACTCCATGTAGTAACTGTACTAATTTAAAACTAAGGGGAATCTAATTGCTTAGTAGAGAACAAGATTTTTTTAAAAAAAAATACATTGATATAGAATATTATTGCTCAGATACCGTAATGCATCGTTTGCTATTAATTTTATTTCTGTCCTGTGCTCAATCTTCTCCCTAAGTAATTAATAATTACTGCAAATTCTACATTTAGATGAGTCTTAGAATTGTTTCTAAAACAAATGTAACACCTAAGTATAACAAAACTATCAGAATTGGTTTTCTTAAACAAATAAACTTCACATCCAAAGATAAGTCTGGTGTGTGTGTGCGTGATGTTGGATCAGAATGTACTCCTGATTTAAAGCCTTGAATAGGAGAGATGCTTATCCTGTTTGCAGCATTTTCATAGCCATCCTCTATCTTCAAATGCAGCAAATAATAATTTATTTTACTCTACAGTGGTTACGTGGGCTCCCTTCAAGTCGACAAAGTTTCAATGTCATATTTGGTGAATGCCCATATTGTAATAAGGTAAGCAAAGATGAATAAAAATGCTTCCAAATAAGTTTGAAAATAACACAATTGTAATAATCCATGGGAAACTTCATTATAGGCTTGTGATGAATCCCAGTGTACAAAGCCTTACAATTTGGAAGTTTAGGGAATGGTATATTTTTGAAATGTTTAAAATCTGACAGTTTTTGTAACATACTAGAAAATATTGTAAGCAACTTTATATATTAACTTTGCTTTCAAACCCAATTTATTCCAGCAAATCACACTGAAAATATCTGCTCAGAAAATCTGAATACAAGTGGATAATTGCATTTCCTTCTTCTACCGGAGAAGATATCAAAGGTAATAGAGAGAGAGCATTATTAAGAAGAAGAGGACAACAATGGCCACAATATACTGAAACATTTTTCCATGCAGTCCAATCTGAGAGAGGCAGCGTGTGGAAGAGCTGGTCAGAGTTTGCACACATTCTGTTTGATGGATTGCTGAATATCTGAATTCATTTTCTCTACAATTTTCTTGAAGATTCTGGAAAGTATTGCATGAATATGTCCAGGGCAATGATTTTATATTGTCCTGAAAAAGAAGGCAAAAACATTGCTAATGGAAATTTGATTAAATGTTCAGTACTCTGCTGTGAGAAAGGTTGTTTAAATATTTTCCCCTTTGTTCTTAACTTATATTAACAAAGCTAAATAAGAATAGTAACTACATCGTTGATTTTCTTTTTTAAAAACAATAAAGTGGAACGATCAAAAAGATGTATCTGAAGAGTATTTTGTTAAGAATGTTTTGCTGCAAACTGTGGCTATGGGCTTACAGTTGTTCCACTTGGACAAGACCACTGGAATTTGTCTCATCCAAGAATTTTGTGAATAATCATACACTAGAAAACTAACATGTCAACTTTTATAAAGTATGGACAACGTACAAGTCTAAGGACCATTCCCATTCCCAACCAAATGCAAATCAAACATTTCCACTTATTTCTTGCAGATCATTCTCTGTTTATAAAATCACAGAAAATTACAATTTTCCAAATGTGTGGTGTCTCAATCTAATTGAAGCAGTGCATAAATACCTATTATGTATTAAATACCCTTACCTTTAGTTGTAGCTTGAGTCACAACACTGAAATATTAAATAGTTACATTTGTAGGGTCTTTATTATATGGGCAATATGAAATCGCTCAGCTTAATGTAATAAATATGTAATAAAGTTTTTAAATTTTAGAAGACTGAATAAATCTGGAAGCCTTTAAATTTAGGAAGCACCATACTAGTTATAATAATGGAACAGAATATTTGTTCTTAATAGTATATTCCTGGCAACATCTGTCAGGGGCATTAGGGCATATTATTTGTTTGATAGTAATTTCTAGCAATATTTCCATATTCATAGAAAGTTATGTATTTCAAGACAAATACTTCCATGCTTGACTTCCATTTATCATCTGTACTTCATGTTCTAGAAAAAAGGTAAAATGAAAAAGAAAAAGGTTTTAACAAACAGGTACAATTTAATGCAACATAGCAAACTCACCATTGAAGTTTGAGTAAACTTATTCAATCTAACCAGTTCTGGCTTATCTTGTATTTGGCTACTTTTCATTTGTACAGTGGCTTTTCTAAGATTAAAAAACTCCTTGTTCTCTAGTTGGCTTTCTTGTCCTTTAACTTGCTTCAGTGTTGGCATCAGCAAATGAGCCTATTAAATGTACAAATTAAGCCATCCTGAGTGTAATCCATGAAATGATACAGTACTGCAGCCTTTATCCACTGAATTAGTTTTATCTAAAAACTTGAGTGAGTCCTAACATGAAATAATCACACACAATACTAGAAAAAGCATTGTTAACATGCAGTCATGGAAAGAATAGACATTTTTTTATGAAATTAGCAGCTATTTAAGATTACTACAATTTGCTTTCCTAAGGTAGCATTACTTTTTTAAAAAATCATTTTAGAGAAATATAGATGACTATTAGTAACCTTTAGTAGAGGTGAAACCAAGTTTGTCAATAATTAACATACTGTATTTTAATTTCAGTGACTCAAATGAGAAAATACTAACTAAAAGATTTTCCTAAGCTAATTGTCTATTGCATGTTGATAGGCAATATCTCTTGGTTTCCTTACGCTTCTTCTTTTAAAATTCTCTATTACAGTAAAGATGTTGGTTTACATGCATAAGGAGGTTTAGATTGAAATCTGCGGATTTCCAGTTTTGCGCCATAGCGCCTGGTTGCGGGATCGCGGACCTCTATACCTCACAGCTAGTTTCACCCTGCGGGGGATTCTAAATTGGTCTAAGTTGCCCCAGAGAGGTGGCGAAGAAAACAAAGGTAGCCTGACGATTCTGAAATGATGGTGGTCATTTCGCTCGATTTGGGGGAAGCCTTCTAATCCGACAGGAGAAAGGCTGGTCACACTTTGTTGACCAGCCCAAACTACATGCAGTCGAAGTCCAAATGCACTAACCAGCACAAAGTGAGAAGGGAGGGGATTACACCCCACCCTTCTATAGACGGAAGTGGCGAATTAAACCCTTATGGGGAATAAAAATATAAAATACTACAGTTTGGATAAATTAGAAAGCTAAGAAAATGGTTAAAACTCTATGCCTGAAAAAGCATTGATGAAATTATATATATGTAAAAAGAACAAAAATAACTCTTTGTTTTAAAAAGTTGGAAAATGAATAGTGACATCTAGTGAAGGATTAGAGAAAATTATAGCTGCATTGACCCAGAATTTGGCAAGACACCTAGAAATAGCAAAGAACAGCTGAGAACAAAGCATTGAATTATCTACTACTGAGTGAAACTACATATGTTTAGAAACTGCTGGCCTGGGATTATAAACACACTGAGCTGCATTTTTAAACCTAAGAATTATTTGCAGAGAAAGAAAAATCTTGGCCTTTGGCTAATCTTCTAAAGGAGAAATTAATGGAAAACTTTTAGATGGTCAAATACTTTGGACTTAATCCTGACTGGTTGATAATTACAAGACCCCTGAAAAGAACTGCCACAAAATATTGTTTTCAGTGGTACCTTGTTAATTGGAAATGTATTGGATTATAAAACTATTATATAAATATAAGAACTATGTAAGATCTGGCTGTTTAGATTTTAAGATGGGCTGGCTTGATAAAGCTAATTAAAAAGATAATGACATCGATGAAAAACTACTTAGAGGGGAGAGATAAAACAGATATTATATACCTATCTAAAAGTGATAGAAAATCAACCAGTACTATCTCCTGAAGACCCGAGTTTGGAGTTTCAAAGATCTGCAGGAAAAATAACTCAAGACAAAACAAATACATTCCAAGAGAAAATATACACAATGCTGAGACAGATTCAAACGATAATTGTTTCAAATCATGATGAGATTAGGAAAAAATTTGACAGTATAAACGAAGATATCTCTAACTTAAACCTACAATTAAATAACACTCAAAAAATGACAAAGAATGAACAAACTAATCAGACAACAGAACATTAATGAAAGTGACTTAAATAGAAAAGCTACAAATGAAGAAAACTACAGTTTAATACAAGCAAACAAAAAATCTGCAAAACCTCACTATAATGAAGACAAAAAAGATGCTTTATCCTCCAGGACTTCAAAACAAATTGAGAATAAAAAAGAACTATAATATGGATTAAAGAATTGCCAGAAGAATCATTAAAACATGGGAGACAAAAAACTGGTACTTTACTTGATTTGTCTTTTTTGTCCCCAATACCACTTACAAAAATACAACCTGGCAAGCCAAACTTACTGATTTAGAAAGCGACTGGCAAAAAAAGAAGATTAGAATTGAAGTCAAGAGATGTGATTCAACTTATATTACCAAAATAATGATCACCAAGAGAATATCTAAAAAATAGAAGTTAATCAACCTAGCTTTCGTCAAACACACTTGACATCGTCAGGGTTAAAAGGTAAACGCTGGGAGGCGTTTACCTTTTAACCCTGTCGATGTCAAGTGTGTTTGACGAAAGCTAGGTTGATTAACTTCTATTTTTTAGATATTCTCTTGGTGATCATTATTTTGGTAACATGGATAGTCCCAAGAGTCGAATTTTTACTTGTATTTGTATGTATGTATGTATGTATGTATGTATGTATGTATGTATGTATGTATAACATTAACCATATTCAAACAAATATATATAAAGTTTAGATATAAAGAAGCCCTAGAGAAAGATTATTAGATGGCGTATTATAGGATTAAATATTGTTGGACTATAGCCAAAAGAATAGATAAAGCTTGTAAAGGGGCCCTATAGTAAGAGGAATAAGATATATAAGTAATATAATACTTTTAGAATATATGAAATGTTAAAACATTGAGAGGGTCTATTTAAATGAAAAGTTTGGATATTTAAAGGTAATGAATTTTGAGAAAATTATGACTGATAAGAGTGGTCTGAATACTGAGGGGAAACTAAGCTTCAATAAGAATCTTGAAAACAGGACATATAATGACTTAATAAGATAACTTATAAATACAATGGAAACACAAGCTGATTAAAAAACATGTTATATGTTGATGTTATTATATGCATAAATACTAAAAATGTTATAAATATTAAGAATTATATTTTTTTAATGTAGACAAAAGGAGAATATTATTGGAAGAAGAGAGGATCAAGAAATATATTGCCAACCAACATATTGATTAATTGTAGAAATTATCATTGATTGTTTTAAATATAGGAACCCAGACAACCCTGTTCACGAAGTACTAAAGATTGTTATTGTAAAAAAATTAATAAAATATTTTTTTTAAAAAAAATAGATTGAAATCTGAACAGCTGCAAAATACATTTGTGTGCTGTGCAGCCTAGAAGAGAGCAGTAACAGCAAAAGGAATGGGAAAGATTAGCAAATTGTACCAGTGTTTAGAGTAAGATTTATAAAGTAGGATGCACTGGCAATGCACTAAGACCATCAAATAAAATGCACTGGCTTAAGCACAAACTCAAATGTGCATCTCCAATACCAATATTCCACTCAAGAGGCAGAAGTGAATTATTTCAAGAGAATGGGCAAAGATTTCTCATCTCCGTTTCTTTAAAAATAGATTTAAAAATTTGTTCCAAATACCAGAAAAATAGGGTTGTTTTAATTGGGCCGTGAGTATGTGTTCTTCTTTATTCCAGCCTTCTTTAACAAAAAGATATTCCAAGCCAGAGATCTTAAAATTATCTAAATAGGTAGAAATATTTTTATTTATCAGCATACTGACACAAGCCTAATTTTAATGTAACTGTTTTGTGGACATCCAGAATCTGAGTTTTGCCAAAATTGGATGACTTAAGGCAATAATTCATGCTATCAGTAAATATGTTTTTCTTTCATACAAGTGTTTCTAGGCTAGAAAAATCCCATTCATCATTTAGCAAACATTCAGCTTTGAAGCAACCCTTCTTGTCTTTATTTGTTTAATCAAGGATTTACTGTATTATGACAAACACCAGACATATATATTATATAACAACTAAAGGAATATTCATTTTTACAAACTCTTGCCAATATTATTAAATCTCTGTGCTTCTGCTAGCTCCATATTTGGAATATGAAGCATTCTCTTCCATCTTTTTTGTATGTTATAGACAGGAGGACAAAATGAATTATACTGTATTTGCTCCCGTATATGATATACCTAGCTATAAATAAGTATTAAAACTTGTAAATTACACTTGGTAAAAATTATTGTCATATATAGTAGATGATTTCTTCTA